ATTTCTGAAGGGTCTTGCAGTGTCTTTTTGCTTTTTGCTTTGCTTTTTCTGCATTTCCAAAGGGTCTTGCAGTGTCTGTTTGCTTTGCTTTTTTTTGCATTTCCAAGGGGACTTTCACGGTTTTCTTTCTTTTTTTCCTTCAGCCAGAATGGATTAATCGTGTTTCCAATGGGTCTTGCAGTGGTTTGTTTGTGTAGTTTTTTGGTGATTTTTTTTCCTTCGGCTGATTTGTGTGGTTTTTTGGTGATTTTTTTTTCCTTTGGCCGGAACAGATTAATTGCATTTCAATAAATCCTATAGGAAATGGTGCTTCAACTTACAACCATTTCGAGTTATGACCTGAGTTCCGGAACCAATTAAGTTCATAAGTTGAGGCACCATCGTATAGGATTTCCCAGTTTTTCCAGATCAGGAGTGCCCAAGAGCCTCAGAAAGAAGGAAGGGCTACTGAGAATGAAGCAGAGAAACCCAGAAGAAGCATATCATTGGATTCTAGCTTTAGTCTATTGTTGTAATCAACCTATATATGAAATGTCTAGAACAGGCTTTTGAGACCTGAACCGGGAATGTGGGAATGACTGTCAGGAAAAAGATCTTAGGAACATAGTGGGAAATTTACTGAAATGTCTGTGTCTGGTATCAATAAAAATGATAAATTCCATGTTAGGCCCAATTGAAATAACTACTGAAACTAAGCCAGCCAATATAGTAAAATATAATTTTAGAATAGGGCCAATTTTGGAATATTGCACAGGATACACATTTAGTAAAGTACTGGCTGTTCCATGTAAAAAAAAATATCAAAAAGCTGAAAAAAGTGCAGGAAATAGTAGTAAAAGTGATTTAAGAGATAAAGCACCTCTTTTAATGGCAGGCTTAAGGCATTTGGGCTTTCTATGTTTAAAGAAAGGTACTTCAGATAAAAAAGGTAGAAATGGTAAATTACCTATGGTGTGGAAAAAGAGAAAGGCTTGTTGTAATTCTTCTTATCACTATAACTTGGGGACAGGCAGTATATTCAGAAACAGAAGTGACAATGCTTCACACAGCACAAATCATTTCTGAAATTTGTTGCGACTGTTTCAGAAGGCTTTAATGGGTATTCTGCATGATAGCCTTTCGATGGTTCTTACTAATGAAATGAAATCTCAGTGTTCAGAGGCAGTATACCTTTGAATATCTCTTGTTAAGAATGCTGCTTCTTTCATAACCTTCTTATAATCCATCAATGAACTTCTGGAAAGCCCAGAAGTTGGTAACAGGAAGCTGAGCTTAACAGATCATTGCTTTGATTCAACGGGCTTCTTCCTTGAACCATCAACTTTCTGGTTGATGTCTGCAGTTTCCTTGCACTGCAAACATTTGCTATATGTTATGCTAGTCTATTCTAGGCTAGATTCAGACTGTTCTCTCCTGGGCTGCTTCTCTGGATTTGCCTTTAAGGAATTTGACATAGTGCCAATTCTACTAGGTAATCCTCACCTTAATGTGAAAGAATTTTTTAACCGTGCTATAAAGGTCACAAAAGCTCAAGCTACTACTAACAGATAGAAGTGACAAAGTCATCATTTTGTGACTTTGTGCATTAGGCAAACTGAAGAAAAAGCACGATGTACTTTCCATTGTTAAGTGGCAGCTGCATTCTAGCTTAAACAAAACTACTCCTGACATTTCCTTGAATAAAGTGTTTTCTTTTTCTTGTACTTTGCAGACTCAGAAAATTTAGTTGTAGAAGAAAGTCAACTTCAGTTCCAAGGACAGTATCAGTTTGTTACATTAGATACACATTCAACACCATTCCTTGAATTCCTTTTAAGACATTTCCCACTTGCTGGAGCAGCAACTTCAGATTAGATCTTGATAAACCCTCTTCTGAAGTGCAATCTGGTTCAGCATAATGGAACAAAAGAGATCTGAATGTCTGTATTCCCTTTTCTGTTCATCACTGAATATCTATAGTCTCTCCTCTAAATGCTGTAATGGCATGCTGTCAAAACATCCCATGTTTTTCATGTTTGCAAAGAATCTTTAAACGGAATCTGCCAAGTAAGAATATTGTGAGAGGGAGTGCTAGCATATTTTCTGTACCTTCCCTGCATGTTACCTGATGGGCCATCATACTGCAACCAACTAAAATTCAGGAACAGAAATTATAATGTCATTAGAAAGAGAACTGTCTTTATGCTTTTACTGATTTAAAAACTACTTTGTTTGGCCACAAGGAAAAGCATTATATACACACCTCAAATAATGCCTGAAATACTGTTTGTAGTGCAAGCCAAACCATAACTTTCCACCTGTTGATCTCTGGTAAACAAAACCCTCTGCAGCAATTCTCAGAGTTGTGCGTAAATGAAGCCAGTATGCACGTGTACTCCAAGAATCACAGGACAGTGTTTAGCAGGAAGTTATGGAAAGTTATGCTTTAGCTTACATTACGAACAGAATTTCAGCCAATAAACAATTAATTTAAATAATTGATACAATGTAAAGCATCCTCACAATTTTGCAAATTAAAAAAGCAGAAGAAATTCAAGTTCATGCACAGTCTATAATGTGTATTGACCATGACCCAAAAGGTGTACTTTGGTACTCAAATCCAGCAGATGTGTGATTTCCTCCTTTCTTGCTACCACCCTTTGTACTGTCAAAACCCCTTTATGGTGATATGCTAAGCCTTCTAATGCAGGCTTTTAGGGTGCATGTAAGAGCAAGGGGCAAGTTACTGCTTTTAGTGTCAGAAAAGGGATCCAGTAGAAATTCACTATTGGATTCTGGCTATTAGCATAAATAATATTTAATAATAATTTTATAAGGCAAAACAAAAAGACCACACTAATTTTATATTCAGTACCTATATCTGTTTTTGAGGAAATTTTAAGTGCTGATTTCTCAAATGTGTTTATCTTGAATTAAGAACAATTTGAAATATCTAGAAACATTTTTGCCTTCAAATAAGTAGTATCTTATTTTATCTGACTTGACTAAGAGTCAGAGAATGAAATTATTCACTCAATTTTATACTTTAGGGAAAAAAACAAATTTGTCAGCTTGTTTCATTTAATAGTCTGCAAGTAAAACAGATGCAAATATTTCTCCAACGTTTTTCTGGAACATATTTAGGCTATAAGAAAAATGGAAGACATCAATGGAAGCTCACAAGATTCTTCTGCCCTTTGTTATAAAGAGATTTTTTTGCTTTAAAAACTATTTTGTAAAGCTTAGTGTTAGAGCACCAATTCTTTTTTAGATTTTAGGCTAACTGCAACAGTAACAAAGCTACCTTTGCAGTCCAAATTCCTCCTTTCTTAAACCCTGTATGTGAAATAGGAGACACTGTGCAAAACCTAACTCATTAACAACAACATTATTTCAAGCGTCTATTGACTTTGAAAGAAATGTGTAGTGATATTGCCCACAATAATAAAGAATGCCCAGCTCCTCACAGAAGATAAAAGAGAGGGTGAGGGGCTTCAGTGAAGTTTTGCTTTCAGCTTGGTCAATAACTATAGATATCTTTGTAGGTACAGCCTTGTAGTGCTGAAATCTTGAGGTATTTTGGCATACAGTTAGTAAAAACTTGTTTTTTCACTGGCATATTCATTTATACATTCACAAGAATATCTTTGTCCCATTTTTCCACTTTCAATAGAACAAAAATCAGTCAAGGTTCCACCTCTCTTGTAGTGGCATTGGTTTTTCGTTTCTGAGATTATGAAGTGATTTTTTTTTCTTATGGAATGATGCTGTAATTTCTCTTGTCAGAAACCATTAGTGTGTGCGCTTTTTTCTAATAAAGGCATATTTACAATTTACAATACAGTGGTGCCTTGCTTAGTGAGTGCCTCGCTCAACGATGAATTCGCATAACGATGGCCTTTGCTGGAAATTTTGCCGCCTCACCTAACGATGTTTCCTATGGGGGATTTTCGCATAA